TATTCGAAGAAATTGAAATCACTCAATTTGGTTTTAACTTGTTCTTCGACAAAATTGTGCACATCTTCATCTGAGTTTGTTGAGCTGTTGTTGAGAGTGACAGTTCGCTATAAACGGAATGTGAATATACAACTAACGCGAAAAATGATCGTTATATCCGGAAGTTCGTTATAAACGAGATTGTTATAACCAGTAAAAAAATACGTTGGCTTTTATGGATGACGTTTCAATTAAAGGAGAAAAGTTCGTTTTAACCGAAAGTTCACTATAACCGGGTTCATTATAAGAGGATTTTACTGTATAAATATATGTATTACCATAGATTAATGTTCAGTTTGTGGGAATTTTTGATACAATGAAAACACCCATTTGCATTAGATTTCATCCTTTTGTACTTGGAAAAGCTTTTGCGTTATTTTTCAGTCCTGCATCATGGTATAATCAGCGCATTAGACTCAGCTATGAAATTTTTATTCCATTATTCTATAAGTGACGCTTTGGTTTACACATTTTTCAAATATGGTCTTATTTGAGCGACTGTCTTCTTGCTAATTAATTGTTGAACTTCTTAAACATTTCTTCGGTGTATTTTTCTGTTTGAACCATACCTTTTCGTGCTCGTTTCTGAGCAACCATTTCACCTATTGGAATGTGGAGTTACGAAGCTGTAGCTCAAGACTAAAGTGAATTTTGTTTCATTCGAGGTCCTGGTTTTTTTAACAGAAAATCTCGGAGTTTGTAAAATTTTAGGCAGTTTTTCGTTTTTGGACCAAGATCTTCTGAACCTGATATCTGAGTAATAGTTTCAGTAGATTCTACCAATAATGCAGCGCATTGGCCGAAGTGTCAAGATCCAGGCGAGCTTGGAAATGTACAAAAATACTTTCTTTAGAACAGCATCCGGAGATTTTCAAAATTTTTAAATTCTGGTATCTTTCTGCAGCTTTTTGATAAAACGTGCATTTTTAGATAGAATTTCAACATCGTAGCTGTCGCATTCGCCAACTGCTAGTAAAAATACTTCTTTTGTATACTTTTTTCCTTTTGAAAAAATTGCGTATCGTTTCAAATACCACATTGCGTGTTTCTAGCCCTTCCAAGGCTAGAAAAAATCATTTCATGTGCAATGTGCCAGCCTTTCTAGACAAAGAGTGTAATGTTTAAAAAACAGCAACCGCCAATTTTAACATCAAAGTTGTTGTTCTCTTTACCACTGTTAAGAAATTTTTCGAATTTGTTTCTGCATTTTTGCAGGGCCTCGGCCAAAACTAACTCGTTTCTTAACTTATTCGCGATTTTTATCTTGATGGAAACTTATTAATTTTGTAGAAAACTATTCGTCTTGGCTGAAACGTTCCTTAACATAACAGAAATTTTGGTTAAGTGGAACTCTTTAGCTTTTAGTTTAATAGAAAAGTTTTTAACTGCAGAAAATCGTAGGTTGATAGAAGCTTTTTTAGAAGATAGAAGAAAAATTTTGCTTCATCCAAGCGTTTGAAATATCCTTAACTTAATAGAAACTCTTGAACTGAATCGAAACTTTTCATCACTCAAGAAACCTCACTTAATATAAATGATCTTTTCATTTTCTCAAAGCCAATTTCTGCAGGTTTTTGCAAAAAAATGTCTAATTTTGAGCAAAAAACCTCAACAGTTAACATGAACCTCAATTTTACTTACGAAATCTTCTCAAAACAACCCAGTTTACTTTATAGTTGAACGTACAAAATCAACCGAATTCTAGACAAAAAAACCAACGTTCGCCACCGCCAGAAATCTACTTCGAGAATGTCAGCTCTTCCAACCAGGGCCAGCTGCGTTCTAAGCGCAAAAGATGGCCGAAGCTGGTCCTTCGAGCGGATTTTTAGCACCGCAAGCAGCTGGTCTTTTATTTGGGAGATGAATAAGGAGGGGCATTAGCTTCGGCTTCAGGCTTCAGCCGAGTTTCTGGTGCTCGTTCGGCCGAAAGCCGCCGCCGGAACGTAAACTGAACAAGAGCCCCTATCGATATCGACGTTTAAACAAACCGATTTTCCGGCATTTTTCCCCAGTGAAATCGGACCGATTTGCGGTGAGTGAGTGCCTCCCGTGCATTAAACGCACTCGATCGACTGTGGGTTCTTCGGGTTCCATCCGCAGGTAAGATTTGTGGGTTTGCATTGTTGTTTGATGCAATAAAAAACCGGCTAAACAGTCCGTTGCATTGCCTGAAGCTTGCAGCTAACATTAGGCGGACCTTTTTCGGAATTTGTGTCCATTTGGGACGCGTTTAGATGGCTTCAAGTCGAGGAAACGAAAGTAAATAGAGGGATCAATGCCCTGGAAATGCTGGTGCGATTCCGGGAAAAATCCATAATTCCAGCTGGATCACCTGGAAGTCTAGACGGGGTTCATTTGTTTGTTGTGTTCACGGTCGCTGCTCTTTTATTCAATGCCTCACATCAAGTTGCATGTGTTTTCATCGGAATATATGTACTTGAAGACCATGTTTTAAACCATATTTTCATCCAAATTCTGAAATATATTTATAACAAACTTTGCTAATAAACAACAGTTTAACTATTGATCACCTATTAGTAGGGCCGATCCTTACAAGTAAAACATGATCAAACTTGTTTCAACTGCAGGATTAAGTAAACAGCTTTTTAAGCCCTTCTAACCATTGTAGGTCTACATGCCACCACATCAGCTAATTACATTCAATCTTCAACCGAAAATGCAGATCACACGGGTTTGAATCCGCTCTGTTTGGTGGTCTCAACCCATTCGGCCCTCACACTCTTGGTCCTGAACAGTTTTTAATCTCCTAGTTAAATAATCAACCATTATGGTCTTAGACGGGTTTTGATTGGTTTAATGTCTCACGTCCCGTCCTGTCCGGTATCAACTCGAACTGGAACTGGACTTGATTGAATTAATCATCGTTTCTTAGGTCTTTCGCGTAAATCCGTTTGATTTAAAAAGTCCATAATTGGGTCTTAAACCAGTTTTATTAATAGGATGCATCGCCTTAAAAGGCCCGATCTGGAGCCATCAACATCATTAAGTCGGAGGATTTTCTTCAACTTCTAATCATCCAGATGCCTCCCCAAACGGTTGTTTTCAGCTTGCTGTTGAAATTTCAACGGCCTCCCATATTCCCCGACCTAAAGCTGGTTGATTTTAATGCAATTTAATTGTTAGTGTTCATAGATTTTGGGAGGAATGGATCGAATGACATGAAAAACAACGGCTAATTCCGGATTACGTTGGCAAATAGGAATGCAACATGCCCATCTGATTTTCGCATGTTTTTGCAATTAAATTGGCGTCATCTGCAAAATTTCAAAGCTTTAGCGGATCAAACGAGTTGTTTTCATTTAGCATAGGCTTTAAAATAGTCCGATGATGGCAGGAATTCGAAACTTTCGACAGTTTTTCAATGTGTGTTCATCATAAACATTTGCCGCTGAAATTCGGGTAGAGGTGCAAAGCTGTTTTTTGTGTCATTTGATCTAGAAAACTTTGCGCTTTTAGCGCGTACTAKTGTCGATTTACCYTCAATTTTCCTGRGACTGGGGCGATTTTTTAAGTTTGGAACCGTATTTTCTCATTTTTCCTTTGGCCTGTGGCAGGCGTTTTTCAGCAGTTTAGCACTGAAATTGCTGCTTTTTGTGCCACATGGTAGAGGAAAAGCTCCAKGAATMCCACAAGAGTCGCKTTTGTAAATTTTATTTTTTTTTATTTGAAGCTTGACCAGATTTAGAAGGCTTTTTTWWAAATCTGTTCCTCTAAATCGGAATAACGCRYAGTTCTGCTTTTACYACCATTCGAYAGAATRAACCGGGCTCTATCAGTWCTGCAAGTGTCAATTTGTTGTTGCATTTCYACAATCTTTGAGGATTTTTCAAGCTAAAGCTTGAATACGCAGCTCAATATCCAYTGCGTTTGRAGRAGCTACGYGCTCGGYATCAGTRTCRTTCAACAGAGGAAACATTGCTCGATAAATCCTGCYAGTGTTGATTTTTTYCGAATTTTCCTCTATTTAGGGGATTTTTCCAGGGGGAGTTTCCAGGAGTTCATCATTCCAYTGCCTGAACAGAATATYTCAAAAGTTTGGTAGCTGAAATACTCTTAGCTAAAGGGYGACTTTGGATTGGAAGAATAGTTCTTATAAATCCTGCCKGTGTCGATTTATACTCTCTTTGTYGRAATWCGAGGRAATTTTTAAGTATSAAGCTTCAAAATGCAGCTTAGTTGCGTTTGAAATAAAAATGTTTAAAAAATTTGAAACCGTGATTGGAAACAAAAAATCCTCAATATTTGTAAAATAGAAGAACATTTATTTAATGAAGTGTGCAGTTGTTTATTCACTTTCGTTCATTTTTTGGGATTTTTTAAAGTTTGAATCTTGAACTGTTTTTTGTTATGTTTGAAACTTTGAAACTTTTGAAGAGGCTTTTTTAAATAAAATCAGTCCTTAAAAGGAGGACTAGTTGTCGCTGTCAACCCGATTCAATAAGGGCCACTTTAACTTCTCATCAATTTCTGGAATTTTTTCAAGTTCCCAGGTTGTGTGTGTTCAGTTTCCAAGTGCATTTTGCTTCAACCACGTTTGCAGAATTAAAAAAAAAATCACTCAGAATGGTGACGAGTAATCGAGCAGTTGATAACACAAGAGACACAAACACAGTTTTTTAGATCCTGACAGTGATTATTTTTTCTCACTTCCTGAAATTTTGGGATTACTTTTATTTTAAAGCTTGAGAATGCAATGAGATTTCCACCCACATGAAAGGAATACTTCAAACATTTTACACTCAAATTGGGCAGAAGCACAGGAAATCTGTTAACAAGTTTGAATAGAAGATACATTGCTCTTCTATTCCTAGAAGTTGTAAATAATTCCCGCTTTTTCTCAATTTTTCGCGAATTTTTTCAGCTTGAAGCTTGAAAATGCAGTGTGTGTGCTACCGCATTAGAAATGCATTTTTTTTAAGTGCAGTACTTAAAATCTACATATGTTAAATAACTGCTTTCTATACAATTCAATAGATGAGATTCTGCTCTATTAATGCTGCAAGTGTCAATTTATTCTAGGTTTTTTTCAATTTGAGGGATTTTTTTTAAGTTTGAAGGTTGCAATATACATAGTTAACTTACCACCACGTTTGCTCAAGGTTTTTCAAAAATTTGCCACGTAAAATTATGGCTAGCTGCCGAACAGTTGTTAAAATAATTCAACAGAAGAATCATCGTTCTATAGCTATATATCCTGAAAATGCCATTTTTATTTCACTTTTTCTCAAATTTAGAGATTTGTTCGTTGGCAAAAGCTTAACAAGATGAATTCTTCAAACATTTCATGCTCTCATTGAGGAGAATTTAGATGCATTCTTTCAGTACTACTCAATGGAAAGGGCATTGCTCTGTTAATCCAGCAAGTGTGGAATTGTTCCCGTACTTGCTCATTTTTTATAATTTTTTTAAAACTGAAACATGGAAATACGGTTGATTTTCCATCACGTTAGCAGGAGATTTTTTTCATGTTTTGCCATTCAAAGTGGGAATAAGTTGCAGATATGATTTCAACACCATTTAATAGAGGTGGTCTTGCTTTATTTTTCCGGCAATTATCAATATACTGGCATGTTGGCGCAATTTTTTACGTTGGAAACTTGAAAATGCAGTTTGAGCGCCACTACCGTAGACCTATATTTGAAAAAGTTTTGGATTCAAAATCGAGATCATTTCGATTTGTCTGCGTTCTCTACCAGTTAATATGGGAGATTTTGCTTTATTAATTCTGTAATAATGTCCTGTCCATTTATTCTATTTTTTTTCTCAATTTGTGGGAGCATCAAAATGGATTGTCCAAAAATAATATCCTTCAAAGTGCTGATTTTCTACTTATTATTATTCTAGAGATTAAACCTTATTCTAATAATCAAAAAGAAAAATAATCTAGATTTATTTCAACTATGTTTTGAAGAGATTTTCAAAAAGTTTGCCACTCAAAATGAGGATAGCCGGGAAGCCTGCTTTCAAAGGCAATCTATAGAAAAATCTTTGCTCTAATATTTCTGCAAGAATCGAGTGCTTTTACTGCTTACACTTTTCTCTAATAAATAGAGTCTTTTAAATTTAATGCTTGAAAATACAGCTTAAAATCCGCCAGAGTTTAGAGCCATTTTATTCTTGGTGCCTGAAATACTGAATAGCTAAAGTCCAGTGTCAATTTGCTCTAAATTTGTTTGAAATCTGAGCGAAACTTTGAATCGCAGTTTAAGTTTTTTGAGAGAGATGTCACTCATCTAACTAACAATCGGCTCTGACTTCTCCTCAATTTGTGAAAATTTTAAGTATTTATCTGGAGTTTCACCACTCTTGAAAAAGATTCTTCAAAAATTCGGCACGCAAAATGTGAAGTAATTAGAGATATGCCCTAAAAGACATTCAATAGACAATACTTTACCCTATTAATCTAATAAGTGTCAACTTATTCGCACTTTTTTCGAATTTGTGGATTTTTTCAAAGTTTACGGGTTTAAAATCCAGTTTGAGTTCAACTGTATTTGAAAATGGTTCATAAAAAAATCGTCAGTCAAAATGAAGGTAATCCAGAAACGTGCTCTCAACTCCATTCCATAGATTATTCTTTGCCCTATTATTCCTGCAAGTGTGTATTTGCTCTCACTCGTCCTCAATTTGCGGAAAATTTTCAAGTATGAAGCTGCAAAATGCAGTTTTACGCTCACTACATTTGGGAAAGCTTTTTTACAAATTTGCCACTTAAAATCTGGATATGTTAAAAAACTGCGCTCTACAAAATTTAATAGAGGAGGCTTGGCCCTCTGGTAAACCTACGGGTGCAAATGTACCCAAATGTTAATGATTTTTTTAGTTTGAGGCTTGAAATTGTAGTTTGATTTTCTCCTGGATGGGAAAATATTTTTCAACAATATCTCATTAAAAGAGTTGATCAGTTAGACAATGGCATTCAACGCCGTTCAATAGTTGAATCTTTGCCGTATTATCCCTGCAAGTCTGTATTGGCTCTCACTTTTCGTCAATTTGCGGGCATTTTGTAAGTCTGAAGCGGCAAAATGCAGTTGTCCGCCAGCTAGATTTGGGGAAGCTTTTTCACAAATTTCTCACTG